GCGATGACACAATCCACCAAGAAACCCACTTAGTGATTCTTATCGCTTCTAGCCCACACTAGGTTTTCAAAAGCCCCTTTTTCTTCCCTACGATTGTTCTCACAGTCACAACTCTTAACTTTTGTATGAAAAAGGTTTGTTAATTTGCAGAGAGCGTTAGAAAACCTTAAGTAGAGAGAATAGGGTCTGGGAAATGATTTTTGAAAACATAAGAATTGGGAATAGGGTTTTCATAAATTGGTCCAGATTTGAATTTCAAAACCCATAACAGACGTAAATAATCGATTATCTTGAGTGATAATCGATTATTCCAGAGCCATTTTCGCAGAGGAGCAAAACAGGACCAGGATAATCGATTATTTGTGTGAATAATCGATTATCTGGCTAGGATAATCGATTATCCTGAGTGATAATCGATTATCACAGAGAGCTTTTTAGAAAAATGATTTTCAGTGCAGGATAATCGATTATCCTAAGTGATAATCATTTATAACAGTGTATTTTTGATAAAAATGAACTTTTAGAGGTTTTAGAGGATGGACTATGTGCTGACTATCTTGGACTCTAATTTTTCAGACTCAAAAAGACAAAACAGAGTTATTACAAGTAAAATACACATGATTCTAAGTCTTCAAGTCTTTAAGTCCTTTGTTCTTGAATCATCATCAAAATCTGTTTAACACTAGGAACATGTTCAACAGATAAATAGAAATTTTTAAGACATTTATAAAAAATAAATAGGTAAAGAAGAATTGATTAACATACTCCTAACCATATCCATTAATAATCTATTAGGCCTTTCTGATACACCATGTTATTGCGGTGTACTTGACATTATGAATTGTGCACAAATGTCACATTTTTGAAGGAGTTTAGCGAATAAACCTAGGTGTTGCCCAATCTCATTATGATGAGTTCCTAGTTGCCCCAGAGGCGGAAAAGGTCATCCCTAGGAGGATCACGAGGAGCGTGACTAGAAGGGAGACCTCCTCCTCACCTTCCACTTTGAATTTTTTTAGCATTTTAATTTCTTAAATATTGGAGACTCATTTTCGCACTTTTTTGTAGAACCACTTTATGCACCTCCTTTTTGAAGACCACTACTTCTTTTTGATGGACAAGAAGGCTTGGACATATAGGATGATTGCATGGGCTGTCCAAAGGTGTATGACACTCCTTTTTCATGTCTTCCACCCCTTTTTTGGGAGGAAGAAACTTGGGATGCGAGATTGGTAGGCTTGGGACAATCCAAAAGGAAGCACACATTTTTTTCATGTTCTCCACACCCTTAGAGGCATTTTTGGTGGGCTAAGACGAATTTAACATATTTGGGCCATGGGGACTCTTAGCCTTTAGGCTTAAGTTATGTTTATGTCTCATTTTTTTAATTCCATCTAGGATCCTTCCCAAAATCCTATGAATAGAAGGTTTCCCGTCATGTAATAAGTTGAGCATTTATGACAAGTGTGTGAGGTTTCTTACAGTGTCTCATTTCTTTGAGTGTCTTATCTTGAACCTTGGTTTAAGTGGTGACAACCACCACTTGTCTAGGGTGGTAGGGGCTAGTCCATTTTTCCAAGCCTTATCTTTGTTCTTTTCTAGTTTTTTTTTTATCTCCTCCTTCTTGCCGCCCAATCCTTGAAAATGCACCTTCATACCTAGATAGACAACTATCTTAGTATCCAGTGAAAATTTTCCTTGAGTTTGCTTACTTTATTGCTTAAACTACATATCTTATCTTTTTAAAATTCTGCACCTTACTTTATTATATATCACATTATATCTTCCATAATACTCACCTCTTTTGTTAGACCTGACAACTTTCATCTTTCTGTCTAATTTCCTTTCTTCTTTTTAAATAAATTTCCAAGGCATCTATCGGTTAAGATTTCTAATGCAATAAATAGACATAACCATAATGTAAATAATCATTAATAAATGTGATAAAGTATCTTTCCTTTTTGAAAGATGTAACATCAAAAGACCCACAAATGTTAGTGTGAACAATTTCAAGAAGCTGATTCTTCTTGTAGCCCTTTTATTTGTGTGTTCTATTTGTTTTTCTTTTATACAATCTACACAAATATTTAGATCAGTAAAATTTAGACCTGGAAGAATTTTCTTCTTTATTAATCTTTCCATCCTTTCTCTAGAAATTTGTCCTAAACGTTTATGCCACAAGAAAGCATAGCATTCATTCACTAAATTGTGTTTAGAACCAACATTATAATGTAAAGTCATAAACATTTTAGCATGCAAACCATCCAAATTCAATTTATATAAACCATCACAAAGAATGTCAATACCGATAAGATGATTATGCTTAAATAAATTGAAACATCCATTACCAAACCTTTCACTCTATTCCCCATGAAGACAAACCTTTCATTTGACCTTATGGTTTGGATTATAAGGAATCCCTACATCGTATTAGAAACTTGAGTGATACATTCAAAATCAATCCGCCATTTATTATGTGGAACTATAATTAGATTTTATTCAAAACATACATATAAGTTCACATTTCTTTTCGAACTAAGTTTTATGTTTTTCACAATCCTTTTTGGAAATATCCAGATTTTCCACGTAAATGACAATTACTACCCTTTAGTGTTTTTTTTTCTAAATTTTCACATGTCTCATTAGTCTTTAGTGGCCCTCTACTCTTATCGCTTTTCTTCATAAATTTCTTTTAGCTCTTTGATTTCCTTAATGACTTACATAATAAACTAAGTGACTTCCTTGATTCTTAAGTCTCGTTTCTTCCTAAACCAACATATTGTGCAATTCATCCATATTTTATTTATTTTTCATGGTGTTATAACTCATTTGAAATGAGTCATACTCAAATGGTAATGAGTCCAGAATAAACTATACTAGGAAGTTCTTATTCACAACCATTCCCTAAGTCTTAAAGCCTTATTGCAATATTTGTTATTTTGATGACATGCTCATATATAATATGTGATCCATCAAATTTTATGGTGGTCATTGCACTCATCAATGTCCTAGCAAGAGAGACCTATAAGCTATTTAGGAGCTCTCTCCTACTAATCCCATAAACTTTTTAGCACTTTTGTTTTTGGGGTGAGTTGTCCTAGTACTGTTAATAATAGTCATCCTCATGAACATTAAGTTGAGTATGTTATATCTTTCCCAAGCTTTATAATGGCTTGTTGTTCATTGTTGCTAAAGTTGGTAATAACAATAATATTCTCTTCCAATATAGCAAAATCTAGATCCATAACACTTAGGTGAATTTGGACTTTCTCATCCAGTCAGAGAAGTTAAGCCCATTAAAAATTGGTATATATGATACATGAAAATTTATTATGTTAGGAACTGGTACTGCATAACAAAGTTTCACATAAGTGTTGAGTCATAAAACACATTAAAACACATGTTATACATATAATATTCAAACAACAATTAAAATATATTATTGTTCTCCTTTGGATGATACATCAACATATAACATATAAACATAATGATGCCAATAAAGTTGTAACATTAATAACAATTAAAATATGCACAAATTAAAATCACCTAATACCTTTGAGTATATAAATAAAACTAATAATGTATACAAAATTATCTACAATTATACTTATTAATTATAAGAACAATCAATCAACCTTATGCGATCCATAAATGTCTTATAATAATTAATTTAAATAACCCATAAATAAATTGATATACATAATTTAACATCATTTATTTTGTGGGTAATTGACATAAATTATTATTAATTTAAAATTAAATAATTTAAAATTTTGATTGACTAACACTTAATTTAAAATAAATATATATTGTTATTATTCATTCATAGTATTTCTATTAATTTTATTATAAACATATATAATTCATATAATGAAATATATATATATATATATATATATATATATATATATATATATATAATTTTATTTATCAATGCAGTGCATAATTTATTCATGTGCATATTTGTATTCACATATATGTACTCTGTATTCACATCCACAATCATAATGCAATACACGCGGATTTCTTCCTCCACAAATTTTGCCCTTTAACTTTTCTAGCATGTAACATTGGCTAAACAATCATTCATGAGATCCAATAGTAAAATTTTTCAGAAAAATTATAACTTTAGTAAATTAATAATTAACCGTTAACTATTTATTGCACATAATTGTGTTAATTATATTCTATTTATTTATGTAGTTGGATTCCATTCAAACGATACATGAAAAATGGCCATGTGAACTTAGATTGATATCTCGTATACTTGCAATAACTATGGTGTGAATCAAAATACTTGCAATAAAAGGTTTCATTCTTCAGGTTCACAAACGTATTTGAATTTCAAACCAAAATTACAATCCTTAAAATTTTAGAAAAAAAAAATCCCTGAATTTTATAATTAGGATTCATAAAATTGGGAAAAACATAATTTGAGGAAAAACAGTAAAAGAAGAATCACACAATTTCACAACTAGACTCTAATACCATATGTAAAATTATTGTTTTCTAACCATTGCATAAAATAAAGAACGAAAATAGTATCTTGAAATTGTGATTCTCACATCCATTAAAGAGAGAAAAAAAAATATATTCTCCATAGTGCAAATTTTCTTGAGTGCATCCTTTATGAATTAATTAAATAAAACTAAGATAAGAACAAGACTTTGCTCCATTAACTTCTCGTTCTATGTTCTCTCTT